AAAAGAACTGATTAACATGAAAATACTATACACACTTCAGCTATGGAGAAGCTGACACATGTAATCTTTCTTTGGAAGCTTTGGAGGGATGCAGTTACCGATTGAATAGCTGCACAATGATGGACACTAAAAACTAGGTAAATTCCAGGGGGCACAACCATCTGATCAGATGATATTAAGACCACAACTGATGGTTCTTCCTTCTTCACAACAAGTGTGAGTTTGATCCTGTCAAGATAAAAATTTACACATTACAAAATCATTGTGAATCATATCATTCTAATATTGACTGTGAGATGCTTATGTCATTCGGCCATTATATACTCTGTGGGGTGAAGATAGCCAAAATTATATACAGGAAAAATGAACAAATTTGTGTAAGTTGTGAACTAGATTTCTTTGAGGGTGACGTTATACTGTAAATTTGTTTTTGCCTTGTTCTATGTATTCTGATTTAGTATTTTTTTTAATTAATATAGCTATTTTTGTTAATTAATATAATATAGTTGCAAGTTTTCTTGGATTTGTTTTCACCTCTCCCAGCGTTCCTACTGGTATTAATTTAGAATGTTGTCTATATGCTTTACTTTACTGCATTATGCAGAGTGACATACATTATGTTCTAAAGGGCATGGCATCGTATATTAATAGCACAGCTGACAATGCAATAACAAATAAAAATATAATCCTTGTGAACGACAAGCTGTCAATACATTGGATAATAATATTCAATAATTATTAATTAGCTAATAATCAATATATTGATTTAGAAAACAATTCAAACAGCTTAGGGAACTTTATACAATCTTACTAATTAGAGTTATGATAAATAAATCAATCAATCAAACAAACAAACAAATATTTATTCAATAATTACAGATTCAGGCAAGATGTTACCATGTGTACTGCGTATCCCCTTTCTTTTCGGTTATACCTGCATATTTAAACTAATTTAAATACCCACTGGAAACGCCCATTCCATTAAATACTGCACAGAACATATCAAGGACATCATCCACTAATCATCATCCAATAATGTACAGTGAAATTATATTGATAAATAATGAATTTTTAGTTAATTAAATAATTGTTTACAACACCATGATCAAATACATTAATGCTAAGGTGACTGACAATAAATGTAATATTATTTTCTTATGTGTTGTATACAAATCATGCAATTTTGTTAACATATAAAATATATATATTAATCCATAATTTCTGCAGCTGACCTGACATTTTCACGTAAGGAAATCAAAAGTTAAACCCTTGAAATGTCACTAGTCATATCTCTAGTACATGCATTTCAATGTCGGGTATCCATATTGAAAGGTACCAAGCAGACATAGCATTTTAGGATACTGTGTAAGACTTTTTATATATTGAATAAGTCATTTAATATAGACGAAGTCAGATTGGAGTTTGAACACTGTCCTTTGTTGTAGTCTCCAGACTCTTGCTTTAGGAGTAGGCTTGAGATGAATCCATCTGTAATCCAGATTTCTCTCAAGGAAGGCTGGGAGGCGAGCAGTATTCTGTTCCCGCACTCTACAACATTCAGCACAAATCTGTCCAATATAAAGGTATTTGCCAAAAAGAACATTCAAAAATAATTTCAGATCAGCCCAAGAATGGAATTTTTATTCTTGGATGCTGATGAATCAGTGGATCATGTAACGCCTGTGGTTCACCCCTCAAACACAGCCATTGGTTTCTTGCGATCTGACACAACATTAATATCTTTTACTCTCGCAATGGTTTGAGCTCTGATGGAATGGAAGTCACTGAGTCCCCGAGTTGATCACCTCTAGTTCTAGCCTTTTCATTTACTTTATTTGACATACCATCATCCATACTTCTACCAGATTCACTTATTTTCATCGAGATATCATCTGTACCGAGTCGGTGCAGCAGGAGGCGGGTGAGATTTTGTGGCTAAAACGTTGGGTTAGACTGAAATACGATATTAAGCTGAGTGCTTATAATATCTATTGGTGCTATTTCACATAAGATTCCTCAAAGACATACCTCAAGCAGTGTCTGCAAATATGCATGACAGACCAAAACAAGTCA